GTTTGAACCTGTGACCCCCTGATCCCAACACCAACGCACAACCCACTGCACCACACGCCTCCCAAACAATTGATTATTTTATCCCGTCTTTCCGGTCAAGTTTGGTTTTCTTGGCTATACTTAAAGAGTCCTCTCCTGCTGATGTTCAGGTGTATATCAGTATGTAGTGTCTCTACTTTAAAGAGTCCTCTCCTGCTCATGTTCAGGTTCATATCAGTATGTAGTGTCTCTACTTTAAAGAGTCCTCTCCTGCTCATGTTCAGGTTCATATCAGTATGTAGTGTCTCTACTTTAAAGAGTCCTCTCCTGCTCATGTTCAGGTTCATATCAGTATGTAGTGTCTCTACTTTAAAGAGTCCTCTCCTGCTGATGTTCAGGTTCATATCAGTATGTAGTGTCTCTACTTTAAAGAGTCCTCTCCTGCTGATGTTCAGGTGTATATCAGTATGTAGTGTCTCTACTTTAAAGAGTCCTCTCCTGCTGATGTTCAGGTGTATATCAGTATGTAGTGTCTCTACTTTAAAGAGTCCTCTCCTGCTGATGTTCAGGTGTATATCAGTATGTAGTGTCTCTACTTTAAAGAGTCCTCTCCTGCTGATGTTCAGGTGTATATCAGTATGTAGTGTCTCTACTTTAAAGAGTCCTCTCCTGCTGATGTTCAGGTGTATATCAGTATGTAGTGTCTCTACTTTAAAGAGTCCTCTCCTGCTGATGTTCAGGTGTATATCAGTATGTAGTGTCTCTACTTTAAAGAGTCCTCTCCTGCTGATGTTCAGGTGTATATCAGTGTGTAGTGTCTCTACTTTAAAGAGTCCTCTCCTGCTGATGTTCAGGTGTATATCAGTATGTAGTGTCTCTACTTTAAAGAGTCCTCTCCTGCTGATGTTCAGGTGTATATCAGTATGTAGTGTCTCTACTTTAAAGAGTCCTCTCCTGCTGATGTTCAGGTGTATATCAGTATGTAGTGTCTCTACTTTAAAGAGTCCTCTCCTGCTGATGTTCAGGTGTATATCAGTATGTAGTGTCTCTACTTTAAAGAGTACTCTCCTGCTGATGTTCAGGTGTATATCAGTATGTAGTGTCTCTACTTTAAAGAGTCCTCTCCTGCTCATGTTCAGGTTCATATCAGTATGTAGTGTCTCTACTTTAAAGAGTCCTCTCCTGCTCATGTTCAGGTGTATATCAGTATGTAGTGTCTCTACTTTAAAGAGTCCTCTCCTGCTCATGTTCAGGTTCATATCAGTATGTAGTGTCTCTACTTTAAAGAGTCCTCTCCTGCTCATGTTCAGGTGTATATCAGTATGTAGTGTCTCTACTTTAAAGAGTCCTCTCCTGCTGATGTTCAGGTGTATATCAGTATGTAGTGTCTCTACTTTAAAGAGTCCTCTCCTGCTCATGTTCAGGTGTATATCAGTATGTAGTGTCTCTACTTTAAAGAGTCCTCTCCTGCTCATGTTCAGGTGTATATCAGTATGTAGTGTCTCTACTTTAAAGAGTCCTCTCCTGCTGATGTTCAGGTGTATATCAGTATCTAGTGTCTCTACATGTCTCCATGCTCTAATGTTCAAAAAGCTCTTTATTGTTCTCATACTGCCTGAGCTGCAGCACCTCTTTTCACCCTCTGTCTGAAACCAGAGCCCAGTCTGCTCTGATTGGTTAGCTGGCCGGCTCTGTTGTGATTGGTCAACCTTTTAGAGATGTCGCCCCTTAGCCTATCACGTACGATGTGTTAGAGCGCTGGCCAATAGAAACCTATATAACCCTACAGGAAAGGATAGTCAGAGAGGAGAGATTGTCTAAAGGAGCGAGTAGTTTTCACTTTTCTTAACCGTGAACACAGCTTCAAAGTCCCGTCCCGTTGGCCCCATCGTTTCATAAACAGCGCACTGTGTGTTGCTCACACGTCGAAGGCCATAATATGCTTAGCCTGCACTAGAGTCCGTATGTACAGTTAAAGGCCTGTGAGGAGCTCAGGGAAGGAAAGCGAACCCCTCCTCCCCTCCGTTTCCTTTCTTCCCCTGTCATCTCGATGCGTGGCATGCAGCCCCACACCCTCACTCCCCCTCCAAAACATTTCCTCCCTTTAAAAAAAAAAAAAAAAGGCGATTATGTAACGAGCCACATTGCTCTGTAATTTGCAGCTGGAGAAGACAGGAGGGACAAAGAGGAGGAGGAAGTGCGCTGATAAGAGTAACAATATGAGGAGGAGGAGAAGTTAAAGTGAAAAGTTTTCAAGGACAGAAGTAGCCGATCTGTGGAAGCCATTATTGTTTTTGGCTTGTAAAATAAAAAATGTACTGCTTAGTGGCCTAAAAATGGAGGCAACAGCACTTGTGTGTTTTAACAACACACACATACACTAGTGTAGTCGTGTGTGTGTGTGTGTGTGTGTGTGTGTGTGTGTGTGTGTGTGTGTGTGTGTGTGTGTGTGTGTGTGTGTGTGTGTGTGTGTGTGTACAGGAGATGAGAGGAAAGTCAAGAGGTGTATGAAGACAAAGTGCAGTTTGTAGTCAACATCTTGGACGAGCACAAGAGGCTTTTGAGAAAGAAAGAAAAGATACAGCAAACAAATGACTAACTTTTTGAGTTTAATCTTGAAACAAAGTGAAATCAACATTTGGACGTTGATTGACAATCATTGTGAATCAACAATGACTTAAAATGTGTAAGAGAAGATGAGATGTGTAGGGACGGAGACGCAGAGGAACAAAGAGTCAGACATGTTGGGTGGAGGCAGGACTTCAGCAGGAGGAACTGCTCCACCCTGCTGCCATTGAATGTTCACTTCCTGTTTGCCCGCACTCATTCACAAATGGTGGAAGCAATGGAGGTCAACCAGCTGCCGTCGAACAGAGGAAATGGCTGCCCTCAAGATATTCAGTTTGTTCTGTGATCTTTGACAGGTGTTTGAAATGGATCTCACTAGACTTTTGCTTTTTTAGAGCAACAAACGGCAGCAATTATGTCTTGCTCAGGTTAAGCAAGCTCTAACAGCACAGGCTAATAATTATCAATGAACGTTTTATAGTCGTACGTTTGGTCAAAGCTTTGTCAAAAATGTATATAAAGGAAGGAACCTAAGAGGAAGTACATATTTCTTTCCGTTTTCGGTCTTAAATAATCTTTCTTTGATCTTTTCAGAGTACTTTTTGTCATGTCTGCACGAGTATAGACGAAAATCAAGATGCTTGTATGTAAAAACTTCTCAGTATAAGCTGAATTCTCACTCTGATTTAACTCTAAGGGATTGAAGTGACCCCTGAGTTACAGCATCCCCATGACATGTTCGTTTCTCAGTGATTTCTGAGGCTGAAGGTCTGTGTAAAGTTAGCCCTCCCTTCCCGTGGAAACACGCTCTTTGGACGATTGGGAAACCCATCTGATATTTCAACATTTCATTGCTCGGGTCTGCGTTATGTAACCGCAGCACTGTACACTTGGCAGGGAGCTCTTGTATTGTATTGCATCTGCGAGAACATGGCACCCTCGACTGCTTTCATTAGAAATTCCTGACTGAAGAAGGCAGAGCGGCTTCACCATGTGAGTGAAGTGGCAGAGAGCAACACTTGCCAAGACACAGGCAACACTAACATATTCATACTGTCCATTTACACACACTACAATACACCCTCTGTCTAACTTCTTGATATCTCACTCACTCACTCAGTAGGGGTCTAAATATATAATGTGTCACATTGTATTGCAACACAAAAATGTGAAAATGGCAGAATAGCAATTAAGAGTCAATCACAATAGAAACTTAACCAAGTAAGTAATCAGTTATGTCTGTGGCTATATGTTGACCGTTCCCAGTACATTGAAAAACACTATTTAACACACACACACACACACACACACACACCACACAACCACACAACAACACACACACACACACACACACACACACACACACACACCACACAACACACACACACACACACCACACACACACACACAACACACACACAACACACACACACACACACACACACACACACACACACACACACACACCACACACACACCCACACACACACACACACACACACACACACACACACACACACACACACACACACACACACACACACACACACACCACACACACACACACACACACACACACACACACACACACCGTTTCTTGTAGCCCTCGAAAGGGTTTTGGAGGTTGATGCCTCGGTGAACGTGAGTTGTTTGGCTTTCTTGTCGGCAGCAGCAGAAAGCATTTTCGAATGTTTGAATGAATCAAAGTGCGTCGTCACCGTCGTTGTTCTCTTATGCTCCAACACACAGTTGCGGAATAGTTTCCCCCCACTTTCGTGCATCGGAGAACTGCTTTGCCCGGTCTTTAGCAGAAATGTTCGTCGGTAAATGAGATGGATTAGATGTTTTCATCTTGGTGTTTTCTCTCTCGTGTGAGCTCCACACGTTCACTCTACGGTGTTGTTTACCTTCTGTGATGCGCGAGCTGGTGACGTCGCATCATCATCACTACTTCACGTCAAGACGAGTTAACTTTTTTTCCCTCTCAACTTTGTGTGGAAAATGCGGGGATTATGCGGCCATTTTGCGATCGCATAATTGCGTTGTTCTGGAGGGTCTAACTATTCTCCAAAAATATCGAATATATTAGAAATAATTGATGTATTTGTTTACCAGCTGCACCAATCACATTCAATCCAAGAATCAAGAGAAAATCCAAGAACAAAACCAAACCATTTTCTTTGCTCTAAATCTGGGAACAAAAGTGTTGAATGAAGATTTCGTTTGACTAGAGAAGTTTGGATACTACTTGCCACTGGATTATTTCAATAACCAGCCCTCGCTGCAAGGCACTAACACAACAAATGATATTTAAGGGATGGTTAAAAATAGTGTAAAACAATCGTGGCATCAGAAGAAGAAGCACATTCTCACAACCAGCCAGGACAGCACCATCCTACAAGAAACCAACAAAACACAAACAAAGACACACACACTCCCTCTCTCGGACTCACCTGGTCACAGCCGGTGTTCACCAGCTCCTGCAGCATCTGCCGGTTCACCTCCCCGGCGCCGGCAGGGTGTCCCGACCCGGAGGAAGGGCCGAACTTGTCGAACGGCATGAGGGACTTGCGAATTTCTCGCAGGGCATTCTGGTAGTTGTTGAACTTCTGCGGGGGTCTGAGCTGCTGCTGCCGGCTGGCCGCGTCTTTCCCGCTCTTGCAGTCGGCCGCTCTGCTGCCGTCGGACCGCGAGCTGCCGCCATGAAACGCCTGGCTCACCAGCTTGGCCGGCTGCTTCAGGCCCTCCTTGATCTCCTGGAGCCTCTGCCGAGTGTTGCCCACATACGGGGCCGCTGGAAAAGTCTTGGGCCTCATGACCTCAGTGCCCAGGGCAGGCACCTACTCTAAAAAAGGGAAGCACACACACACACACTTACACTCCCTCCAAAAAAAGATTCCTTTCAAACTGGCTGCGAAAAAACGTTGGGAGATTTGGGAGTCCTCCTCGGTTTGTCTGCGTCTCTTTGTGATTCTGAAGATGCTGTAGATTCTGGAGGTGCTGGATGAAGGTGAGGAACTACAGGCATGCCATGGTGTGGCTTTCAAGGCTCAGGTTCCAACTTATTCCAGGAAATGCAGCCGGTCACGAGGGCGCCGCGCAGCCAGACCATGATGCTGCCAGTCTCCGCCTGAGGAGGAAGGGATGGAGTTAGATGGAGACAGCGGTCATGCATGGTGTTCATGGATTTTCTAAAATTAAAGCTAGCGCTGGGCAGCTTACACTTTCAGCACAGGGCAAGTTGTGCTTTTAATTCAAAATAGCAAATGTGTGGACCAGAACGGACACTGCACACAGTCAAGTTATAAGGCCTGGCAACTTTAAATATGTTGGTGACTCAAAACCAACATTTTTAAACCGATTATACATTTTGATGATTTCAGTGCAGCAGAAAAATAACCAACACCGATACAACATATGAAATGTTCGTTTTATGTCAACGTTTAAAGGAAAATAAGTATGACATTTGGCCAATTGCATGCCAACAGGTACCTAGTACTTGTGGAATTAATAGTATAAATGTACAAAAATTATAACCCACCCTATATGGATTAAAATGTATACTGCAGATGACATTATCAGATGTTATTTGGCATTTGAACAGGATCTATTCCAGCCTGATTGAAGACTCAAAATGCCTGGAGTTTCAGTTATTCTAACAGAAACATCACATGATAGGACCCGTTTGAAACCGGTCAAATCTGGAAGTGAGACTCTGTATTAGTCCATATGTGGTGCTGGTGCATACCTACTGCACAATTCAAGAATGCTAGGTGTCATCAAACCAGCTGCCCCCCCCTCAATACATAGCAGCGGTTGCACAAGTCAGCCCCTGTCAGTGCATACTTATGCTACGAGGTCATCGGTAAACACCCTTGTGAGAGTGCAGCAACGAGGGGTCCAAACATTCAGATGCTCCCCTGTGATCAGACATTTAACACCGTTGGACAGTCTTATCTGCGGGAACATACTCCGCATTCTGCCACAGCAGCGCTACTCCCGCAGGGCAGATGGGATGACGCGTGAGACATGTTCCTGTCAGGAGCCTCACGTGAGGACCTGCAGTCCAACGTGAAACACTCGCACAACTTGGGGTGGAGGATGCAAAAATATGAAGCTGAAAATGTACAGAACAACTTAGGAGGATGTGTGAAGTGAGTTGTATTGAATTGAACATTTCTATATATCCCTACCGCTCTTTAAATCCGCACAGCCCTCCACTTAAAATGATAATATACTGCAGGTCGTAAAATGTATTTTCTTGTGTCTTCGCACCACCACACACAAAAGCAAATCCTCCCTGTATGTGTAAATGTACCTGGCAATAAACTCCATTTTGATGATCATAAGCTGATGAACACTACTGCTTCCCACAGGAATGTACTCTTTGGGACAAAACCATTTCCCAATGACACTTAGCAGAAGGATGAATAACAAAACTAAGAGTGTACACAGCTAGAATAACTCTGTGGGGCTATACTTAGGCACAGCGGTGTTTGGAGCTCAACACTAACATCAGGATGCCAACTTGCCCACGTCGTTAACATGCTGATGTTAATGTAGCGTCTTTATTTAGCGTGTTATCATGCAGACATTTGTTAATCAGCCCTAAATAAAGAAGAGCCTGGTGGGAATGAAGACTTTGTTTTGTTATTTGGTCATAAATCAAAGGATTGGACTCCTTTTGATCTGAACTATCTAGATTGATGACAAGTTAAAGAGTAACACAAGTTGTTCAAATTCATCCTGACTGGAATCAACACAATTTCATGCTAGCTAGTGGGAAAAAAGGGTTGAAATGGATAAATACATGCCTAGAAAAATGTCATGGCAGTCTGTCCAACCAGGAATGTTCCAGTAGGTTTGACCAAAATGATGATAATTCAACAATCTGACCCCAATTCCCTATACATACAGGGTACATGCAGGAATCCTGAAGTCAATGTAAAACCTTTTAAGATCTTTTTTAAGACCCTTTCCATACATTTTAAGTCCTCATCGCCACTTTGAGTTCTAACCGGTTACCTTGGCGACACACTTTACCTCACATTGACTATATACAGTATTGATGGTCCTTCCTCCTTATCTTCCAACCATTTGGACGCAGACTTGCATTTCCCCATAACGATGTTGTTTAACAACCGGCGTAAACTGACCTCCGCGCTATCAAGCAGTGAGCGCGCGATGTCCTGTTCAGATGACGTCAAACCCAACGGGATGCCATCAATAAACTACACAGAATCACACTACACACCTACGCAATGATTACATTCAGGCAGACTGTAGAACACAACCTCTTTGGACCATTTATATACTTATTGAAAACAAGCTACAAAATGTAACACCTTGGAAAATGCTGTTTAATGGGCTTAATTTTCGCTAAATTGATTTATCAACTGTTAATACTTTTTAAGACCCCGCGGACCCCCTGCTATAGTTGCAAGAAAAACTTGAGATAATGTCATGTTTTCATTTCAGTCAATGAGCTTGAATGCAATGGATCAAACCAAACCTAGATAACTTCCCTGGTCGTTAAAGGAGGGGAAAGACTCATGTTTCACCATTTACTGGTTGGTGACAGTTCCACATAAAAATGTTCTTTCCATACATTGGTGATCCACTAAGTAAAAGTCTCAAGCTTCTATCCAAGCAAACACTCTTGACAGATGACCCTGAAACAGACAGGCAGGCTGGCTTCCTGTCCGACTGTTTCACATGCTTCAGATATCCTTCTTAGTCAGAGAAAGAATTCCGTTTGGCTGGCAGGTGAAGTCTGCTCTCCAGATACTGATGTGGGTTGTTACCGCCGCTGTAAAACTGCCAGACATATTCACATGCTGGCACGTTTCGACACGGCTGTGGTTTGAAAAACGTGTTTGATATTCCAACTATTTTGTTAAGCAATCGACTTTTGATTCATCCGATTGTGTTTCTAAGAAAATGTAATTGACCTAATTATCCAAACCGCAATGAACGTGATTCATAAAAACAACTGATGGGCTGAAAATCTGTTTTATACATCAGTACACCTTTCAGTGCTCGTACTATATCAACGTACCACAATCAGCTATTCAATACTTAAAACCAGTCTCCAAATGATCTTACAAACGACTTCAAAATGTCACTCGATGTATCACCCAACAAGAAACCAAAACAACCACAAAGAAAGGGACGCAAAACAGCCAAAAAGACTGAGAATGGGAGAGAAAATGACTCAAAATGACTATTAAGAGATACAGTATAACATGAGGTCAGTTTCCATGTCCTATCTCTGTTTGCGCATTGAAAAACGAAATCTTGAGATCTTTTAAAGCTCGTCTGAGGTGAAATAGTTGGTGTTCCATAAAAGCTAAATGTGCTTTAACACTGAAACTGTATGTTTTTTCACAAACGTTTTCACTGAATTTGAGTGAAAATTACCATGTTGTTTTCAATACAATACTAATAGCCAATCAGAAACTAGTATTTTATGTTGCCATGGGGCAGAGTTCCAAAGTGGGAGGAGTTATTTTGGTTGTCCAGGGTTTCAAAACTGAAGGTCATTCAATGATGCTAGCGACAAGCTAAATCTACGTTAACATACTGCGGTTATAAGATTACTTTTCTTTTGTTTTAAAAATGTAACATCTAAATAGTCTCAATGATTAAGCGTTACACTAGCCACAGCTCTTAAAAGCTGTCTAGCTTCCTCTACTTCCAATGAAACGTGTAGATATTGTGGTAGACTTTGTAGAGTTATCCACAACGCCAAACTGAGGAGAAAAACACATGATTTCTCAAACAAAGCAAGTCTCTGGTATTGATGTGTGATTACATCAACCTTTAGTATCGTCACAAAGTCCAGGAGAGTCCTGTGTGTCTGTGTTGAGGACCCCTTAGGGAAAAACCTTTAAAAGAGGAATTTACAGTAAGGGAAAATACCAGATGTTCACATTTTGCTCCTATGTAATGCAAACATTTAACATAAAACTCATAATTCCTCCATTTATTTCATGCACAAAAACAATAATTTCTGAAATAATTTGAAGTTCAGTCTTTCCACCATATCTTGTTTTGTTAATGGTAAACGTATTACACTTTCCTACTTTCTTTTGTTGTTGCCTCTGTAATAATGTATATTATCTTATCCCATCTAACCCTAATAGGCTACTTTGACTCTTTTATGGGATCACAAAATGTCCCTATTAATAAAAACCACATTGCCCAGCAGTACTAGATTCATGGCATTCACACGAAAGCAGCCAAACATAAGAAGCCTTGAACCACTAAACCCCCACCGCCTCCTCCCTGGCAGACTCCATCCCTTTGGGCCATTTCTGAGAAGGACACAGCCCTCACTGTTTGTACAGATAAAACTTTGCATGGACAAAAACATGTTTTTCTTTTATATTGCTGGGTGGTGGGGTAGGACAAGGACAAGGGTGCCACGCTGTGAAAATGTTGCCCCATCTCTGGGATCTCTCCCTCCATTCCTGCGATGCTTCAGGCGCCATGTCCAACCAATGAGCATTCCTTTCCACAAGTAACTACAAGTAAACTCATACCACCACCGCTGAATCATGGGACCGTCTGGGACAGTCTCTGCTGACCAAAATAAACCAAAAAAAGAAAGCAAGATCTGTGGATGATCTGTGTGTTGAAATGGAGGGATGTTGGTGCTGGTCCAACCTTGAAAATGTACCAGGGAAGAGATGTGCAAAGACATTTTCAACTCATTTCCACAAACACACTTCCATACTTAACCCTAACCTTCAACAATACATACCTAAGCCTTATCTCTACTTTGACTTAACCTACAACCTAACCCCCGACTCCAATTTGGACCAGAGTGAAAATATGCACAAACAGCCAGTTTCACTCAAATAGGCAAACTTCATGATCGGCCGGGAAACGTGACCTGAAGGAGACATTTTAAAATAATGTGTCTTTAATGCTGATAACAAGTCTTGCAAAAATAATAAATAAATTAACGGATAAATGTTGTTGCTTGGTCATATTTTGTCAGTCACGTTAAAAATCTAAACCTTCCTGACTGCTGTCACTTTTTGTACAGAGAGAATTATGACAATTCTGTCTGTATTTGGGACATTGTGGAGAAATGATGCAATGTTGTAAAAGTAAGAAGGTACGTTTAAGAAAGGTAACGCTGCCCCCTATTAGTCTTAATCTTTCAAGACGTCTTAAGCAAAGTAGAGATTTTTAAAGTGTGTTCTTCTATCTCCAAAAAACAAGATGGCAATCACAAGATTTAAAGAGGTGCATTCGCATCATTTTCTTAGAAGTCTTTGAGTGGACAAAATCACATAACGTTAAGTAGACTACGATTTTTCTTTTAGAAATAGACAGCCTTAAAAATGACAGATCAAACTTCTGTTTTCAAAACCACTGCTATATATAAAAAGGTGAAATCACAAACTACTACAATCCATGGTATTCACAGACACACATTAACATACAATCAACTTCACAGCACAAGCACCAGACATATTTTACATGTGGCGGTCTCATTGTATGTCTTAATGTTGTGTACTATATATACTCTCTAATGTTGATATGTACATATTGACTGTGTACTCCGATACAAATCCTGAGAACCTGCTGCTACTGTAACACAATCATTTACTTATTTAGGATCAATAAGGAACTTCTATCCATCTTACATTTCAACAAGATTATTTCCCATTGTGTCACCTCGTTGTTTTATTTACCTGCTTCTGTTATACAATAACCCACAGCACAACATCTGCCAGCCTCTGTGTGAAGTCCACTGGTGGTTTCCCTCTGATCCTGTGGTTCTTCCTTTAAAGAAGCCTCTGCACCGCCTGACTGAATCAAACCCAGCTGTGGCCAAATACCTGAAGGCACACTGTTGCATCACCAAAGTCAGAGTATAATAGGTCTAATTGTATAAGATACATGTCACCTCCTGCCTCTGGAGACAGGCTGGCAGGATGATACTCAAAAGTGTCTAAATAAAACTTTGGTGTTATGGTTTGCACATCTCAGCATTTAGGAGTCAGCTGCCAGGCGAGTTCTTTACTAATCAAACACCTGAACAAATAAAAGCTCCTGGCAAATGTAGTAAAAGTGTGTCAAACATAAGAGAGAAGGTGTGTGTTTGGGCGTAGTAATAGTAGTTTAGACTAGTAGAAGCACACCTGAATGAAACATGGTTGCATCGGTGCCAAACTATGCAGGCCTTGCCCTTTAGGCTTGGAATAGAGACAAAAAAAGCAAACTATGGACATTTGTCCCACTTATTCTCCTCCATTTCCCCTTAATAATCCCAACAGACTCATATACTAATTCAGCTATTTGGTTATCTTGTCTGTGAAAAACAAGAAATCTACTTTTTAGTGTGAGACATTTGGAAATATTGTGATCTTATGCATATTAACAGTCTGTTCCTAACCACATATCACGCCTTAATTGTAAATGCAGGAACTCAACTAAATAAAGTGCAGGGTTTTCTGATACTCAAATCAAAAATATAACTATATAGAAACCTCCTGGATTTCTTTACAAATAATAAGGTCCATAACATAAAGTTTTGGCCCCTTAGAGGTCCCTACTTTAGGGAGTCTGCAGCCAAAAAAATGGCAATTTCAGCATTGACTTTAATTTAACAATAGGTGATTGTGTAAAAATGAACTATTCTGTTGATAAGTTAACTTCTCATATTTGTGTCAAAGCTTTAAAACCGTTACAAAATGGTGTCTGTGTAGTTAACAGTTTTTGCCTGCGGCCCCTGGACATGGAAAGGGTCGGAAACCCCTGTTTTACCGTCCTGTGGCCTCACTGTATCCACTGCTGCAGCTCCAGAACATTCCTATGCAGAAAAGACTCTTCAAGTCCAATTATAACTCTAAGGAAAACACCTAGAAATCTCTCTAAAATCTCCTCACTTCAACACACCCACGACGGAACATTTTTTTCCTCAGCAACAAGTCGTGGAAATAAGTTTACTCCACCACTCCCCTCCCCAGGAAAAGTTAAGTCTCAACTTACCATGGGATAGAAGAAGAAGATGAAGAAGAAGAAGCGAGAATAACCTCAGTTTGGAGAGTAAATCCTGTTTCTCGTTTGAAGAGCGCATAGAAAACCCCGAGGAGCTCAGTGAAGACGGAGAAAGAGGGTAAATGTGATGAAACGAGCCTCCATTTTCTCCGCAGACTGCAGCAGGATCAGAAATGCAGCACAAAGTTGGACACTCGCTGCATTGTTAACATTCCTCAGGTCACGTGACGGACCGACGCACGTCAGCAGCGAGACAAAGATCGTGTGTTGAAAAGATGGTTCACTCGGAGGAGTTACTTTTCACTAGAAACTGGATTCTTGGTAATAGCTTTTAATTTAACCAGGTTTACAAAGGGAACACCTTTTTTTCCTATTGGGTTATTATTGAGATGTATATGGAAGAGGATAAGGTCCACATGAGAAACACATTTGAGCTGTGATCAAAATAAATAAAAAACTGACTTGAAAACGATACATTTATATTTGTAAGATTTGTTTTTCTTTTTTCCTGAAAATCTCATAATTCTGACTTTGATCTCAAACGTTTTTGGTCACATTATGTAAAAAAAAAATACTCCTGTGGCCCTAATAACCCTCTTCCGTAAATGTACTCTGATGCTCGGGTCATAAGACTTTCATTGCCATTTCTACACTGACAATTAAACCTTTGAATTGAATTTAAATTTTGAATTGAAAGTAAACATCTATTTATTGTTTACATCCTATTCTGACACAGTTCATGCACAAAAGCATTTTTTTTTTAAGTAGGGAAAAATAAAGATTGTTTTTGTATCGATCACAAATATATTGATTTACATAATTATACCATCATCTGACCCCATTCTCTTAAAGGTGGGGTAGGTAATTCACTTCTGAAACACTTTTTGTTATATTCCATGGAATGCTCTTAACATCCCGATAGCAATGAATACATGAAATGCTTTGACAATAAATACATAACAAAATGTCATCTGTGGAAGCTGTGGCGCTGTAAAAAGCACGACCAATCATCTGAGCCGGCCCGGCTAAAGTAACTGGATGGCCTACCTGCCTGTCAGCCTTCCATCTGGGCACAAACTTACCTCGTGCCCTCATTGGTCATGTGCGCGTTCGTGTGTGTTGGAGGAGGGGCTCTGTAAGGAAGTCTGAAGGAAAGGGCAGATTTTTTCCGGGTTGTGTACTTTTACATTTTAGCGCACTCGAGCTGGTTTCTCCATTCTTACCTTTAACATTTGTTTTTATTTTCTTTATAATTAATGAGCAGTTTTAACGTTGGCTTTTCTCCTCGTATGTGGTTTTCTCAGCCTCAAATGACCAATTAGAGAAAGACAGAGAATGTAAATGGCACTGCATCTAACGATTGTTTTCTATATCAATGAACATAAAAATCGCGGAGTTTGACATTTGCGCTTGGGGGGTCAAACCTTTTTTACTGACGTCAGTACACAGTCCCAACTATTGCGTGGGGTGCTACGGATACATTAGCAATAAAGCCAGCGTTCACCGCACTGAGTATGACTTTTCCACATACGAACACAACTCGTCCCGTCATGCACGCCTCGTACACACTCATATGGAAGGGGCGGTCTCTTCCCCCAACAACAGTGCATTTCATAACTGTAAAACGTATCATAACTGTGCACATCTTATACTTATTTGATAACTACTATATCCCTTGGCTACATTATTATTAACCAGTGTCCTACCTTAGTGCAGAAGTATAGGCCTACGCCTTAAACGTCCCAGAAATATCCATTACTGCCAGTGGCGTTTCTATATGTGCAAAAGTGGTGGGGCACTAAAAACTTAGATGTCTATATATAAGCTTCTGCAGAGAGGTTCGTCGCTGGTGAGGCACTGGCACTGACTCTTCAGGTTTACAAATATTATATTTTGACCTAAATCAAAATATAATATTATTTTCAAAAGCTTTTTTTGTCTGATGCTTCAATTAATTTTAACAGACAGTTCAACAGAAGGATACCCAAAAAATGTAATTTTATCATTTAAATATTGAATTGTTCTCTCTTAGTAAGATCCCATTTTCAATAAAATTGTGGTCTTACCTTGACTTGAAGATGAAGTCCATTTGCCTATCCTTCTGGACAAAAATCTCTATTACTTTTTTGTAAAAGTCCTCCTTATCTTCTTGTAGTTTTAAAAGTCTATCATAAATCTAATCGATAGATTTATGATTCGAAAATGATAAAAGTAGGATATTATCCGGCTGAACAAAACGTACATTTATCTAACAGGTACGTTTCCCACAGATCTTATTTGGAGCTATTTTCTAAAATCCTATGGAGAAATCTCATTGCTTTTTTGTGGAGGGAAGCCATGCACAGCTTACTTCCTGGTTTTAGGACGCGTCTCTCTCCTCCTCTTCACACACCACACTTTTCGCGGCACACGTACAGCCAATCAGCTCTGAATTATGTGACATGACGTATGGTGGGGATGGCAGCACTATGCCCCTATGGTCGTTATTTTTTGCCACACACATTAAATAGGAAAATACTCTGAGCATGCGCAGTGTAGTTTTTACAGTCACCGTTCACTTAGACAGTGAGAGGGAGGGGCAGGATCGGGTTTTGTCCCACATGGCTCAAAACAGCTCAATAGGCACACACTGTAGACACTAATTAGAAGAATACAGACTAAAACAGCAATGTACAGACGAATCAGATGATTAAACATGATCTTAAAATATATTTTATATATTTTAATTTATTTTTTGCATTTTGTTGTAATCATTATTTTTAATACTTTCTGCTGACACTAGGTGTGCCCCACCTGCCCCTAATGACCAGTCGCCACTGATTACTGCTCATTCTTGTAATACAATAGCTGAATCACTTGTATGCAACAAAAAAAAGCGAGGGAACTTGTGTCCTTAACCTCACACGTCACACACACGTCACACACACGTCACAACATGCGACTGCTCAAAAATGAAATTATTTCAAACAAAACATGATATTATTCAGATTTGTATTGTAACAATCATTTTATTACATCTATTAAAATATTGATATACAAAATATTTGTATTGGAACAGTTTTAGACGTAGTAATGCTGTAATATATTTCCGCCCCCCGCAAAATCCGCCTATGATAATATGTGAAAAAAGTAAAAAAATCCTATTTCATGAAGTGCATTGAGACGTTGTACATTACGTGTAGAGCCATTATGTGATTATATTGCATATTTGATTACATTATTCCAGCACAACTTCTTTTTTGGTAAACAATCTGATTTTGATCACTCATCGACCATCAGGGACACCAAAGGATGCATTTCTTTTGACTTCAATATAAAGTGACTTCAAAAAAGACCAGCAGAGTGAGAGGTCTCGAGTTTTCCTCCTCTCTGACCGCACATATTCTAGGCGGGGCTTCCTGCAATGTATTTATCCCCTTGATAAATACAAATAAATTCAGTGCATTACTCAGACAGTCACTCCCCCTCTGGACCAACAAGGCATCTTTACGTGCCAAGAAGTCACGAATCAGTGTGAAAGCTAATAGATGGCTTTTACTCTATTAACAATTATCACCACAAAGTTAAACATGGAAGCAAAAACGGGGCAGATAATATAATACCTGTAGGCTATACACACAAAGACAACACGGACAAAAATATACTTCCAAACTTTAATTTACAGTCACAGAGGAAGAAGACAACTAAATGAGAAGAGGTTAAACATCATGGAAGTAGGCTACATGCACCCTGTATAATAATGTTAAACAGCGAGAAAATACAGGTGGAGTGTGTGTGGGATTAACAGAGATCTCTTAGTGATAGAACAATTAAATGTATTAACATAAATCATGGACTAATTTATCAGAACATGTTTGATTCATCTCAACCTTGAAGGTATTTATTTTAGACCTCATATTAAACCCATATAATACATATAAGTTATTAATGTCTGGCAGATAATTACAATAACCTAATAGTGCTGGTCACTATTGAACTTAACCAGGTATATCAGGTTTACCCTGACAACAATCCCTCCAGAGTACAGGAAGAGATACTTTTTTCTCCCACTTGGACATTTTTACTCGGTTCAGTAGCAACTGTTTCATTTTCCTTCCTTAAAGCAACAATGCAGAAACCTGCATCACTCCAGGAATAAATCATGTTTGTTGATAGGGAGGCGTGTGGCGCAGTGGATAGAGCGTGGTGTTGGGATCAGGGGTCACAGGTTCAAACCCCACTGCAGTCAGCATGTTGTTGTGTCCCTGAGACACTTCACCCTGTGGGGATTGTCCACAGGACTGAATGTATGTAAGTCGCTTTGGATAAAAGCGTCTAACAAGTAACATGTAATGTAATGTTAATCAAATACTAAGCACATGCAGCAATGAAGATACACATTGCTTCAAGAGGTAATTATGAACTAAATAGTGCAGGTGAAACCAAGAACACATGGTTGAAATTGTCTGAAAACTAAATGAAAAAGTCCATGAACTGACCATGTTTTATTTTCTGTTATTATCTTGTTTATTACTCATCATTGGTCCTTTGGGAAGTTTCTATTAGGCGGAAAAGGGACATTCTATTGATATGTTATGATTTAATTATTCTATACCTTTTAATGTATTAGTACATATTTCCCATTTATTAAGAAGATTATGATTTCATATTTCATCTAACTTTTTATTTATTCATATGAAATTAGTATTCAACCCTCCTATTGTCTTTGTTCCCCCCCCCTTACTTTGGTGTTCGCGGTCAAATTTGACCGGTCCTGTTTTAATCATTTAATTACATTAACACAAAAACCATTAATCATCACCAAATTTCATTTAACACCCTTTCAAACTGTACATATTGTATCGGACTACTGGTATACATGAACAACTGCAGTACATATACAAAGAATAGACACTGAACATGTATTGCGTGTGCCAGGTGTGATTGATGTGGGGGGATGGGCACATAAGAGCGGGAAATGTGTCAAATTGTTCTGTGTGTGTTTGTGTGTGTGTGCCAGGTGTGATTCACATGGGGGGATTGGGCACATAAGGGGGGGGGGGGGGGAGGACACATCTAGAATATGTGTGTGTGGGTGTTTGTGTGTGTTTTTTTATCTGATCCGGATGGTTACTAATTCCTTTTCTTTATGGCGGTCATTTTTGACCGGAAACACCATGGGTGTTACAAAGTTGACTAAATCATCCAAAAATTTATGAAAGTGGTGATCAGCAATTTAATATGTT